ATTGAAGGACCTACCAATGGTAAACACAAGATTGATCCCAGAAGACTTGGGGGCTACCGCGTCGAAATTCGTTGAAAAACTTTTCAACATTCCGGTGAACGCCAATAGTCAGTGCAGTTTCCGATAGTACTTGCTGTTGCAGTGCCACTGAACAAACTTGAACTTCTCGCTGCAGGCTGTTCCTAGTTATTATATTGATCCTTTTCTTTTTGATCTCGAATCATTTCTGGCATATCATAACTAGTTATACCACTGTCATTACTGTATTAAATTCACATCGTTATTGAAACCTTTCTTCTACAAACTCCTGATATTGTACTCGATTTAACTAAAACTAGAGTTCATAATAGGCCAGCGAAGCAAGTAAACTAAGCGATATCTCGGCAGCTCCTCATTTTCAAGTAGAAAATACAGACGCACATCTCTGAGGCATTGTTGGTTTAACACATAAATATCATGCTTTAACAAAATAAGTCGCTATGCGGAATTCTTGTGGTTGTTTCAATCCCTTCCAGTGTTCTGTCCCCAATTGCATTCGGAACAACTTACTTCTACTCAGTCGTCCTGTTTGATAAGCCATAGGATCTTTCCTGAATGGGGAAGGCGGAGGAACGAAATATCAATTAGACATTCATGGCGAGAAGAAGTTTACAAAGGGACACTTCGGTGTTTCTCTTCTAGAAATATGACCTGGTAGCTGAAGAACATCTTTTCCCTAAACGCTTCCTCTTAAAAGCCGACACAGCGACGGACATCTCCCCTTTCGTGTTCGCCTGTACTAGCAAGAAGTAACGACTTGCAAGAATAGAAACCCCCTCTATGAGAACAGACAGTAGATTTCTAAGAGTACTCGCACAAGAATCGGAGAAAATTCAGACGCTGCTAACAAGGTCACGTAAGAGAAGAGAACTCCATTCAACTCCGCACTTAGCCAAGCTACATTTAAATCAATCAGCTGTCCATTATATCACTTTACTCTTCTATTCTCATCAGAATTTCGGAAATCTCAGCTCTTTCCAAAATCTGCCATATAGCACATCTTTAGAAATCGAAATTTAATTTACTAGTAAAACCTCTAGCCAATAAAATATTTTAATTGCATACATAATTACTCATCTCCATCTTCCGCATCTCTGATGGTAGGGATTCTCGTTCATTTCCATGGAAAGTTATGAAACTGCTGGGTATCACTAGAAATCTGGTCTGCTCTTTCGTTTCATGGAGTTCTGGGTATGGCAGTAAGGGTTTGGATATCTAGGTAGTTATCACTCTCGCTCCCCTATCAAATCGAAGATGATGATGTTGGTTTCATCTTGGTGGCAATAAAATGCTGCTTGCATTTTCTTATCAAAAGACATTTGAGGAATTCATTCTCGCAAAACACCATATCTCGATCACTAGTTATAGACCCTTACATCCTCGAAAACTCCCCAATTACCCTTTCGTTTGGATTGTTGACATGAGCATTGTCGGTGTTCAACCATCTGATGATACCGGAACTCTATATACGATCTTCAGCTTTCACCCCTTGTTGTCTGTATAAGAAATACAGTATTCGAGCCCTGATTATTAAGAAGAATGTAACTAAGATCCGGTAGAGTTTAAAGAGAGGAGGATGTTGTCACCTCAAAGTGAAGACTGGGATAGGGATCTGAGAATGATGATGGATTATTCCAAGCGATTTAGACGATTCTATCCATTGCCCAACAAAACTTATACTGTCACTGTCCACCGCTGGCCAAATCCACAATCATGGTGCTGGATTGTATTTTAAATAGATAAACCCCACCGGATGAAATATGCCCTCATTTTCACATGGAAATCTTGATCTGGGAATTCAATACAATCGTCCGATTTACTATTCACCAGGAACTAATCTCACAATGCGCACCGTATCACTTTTTGGCGACGCGTTATCAATTACTGCACAGTTCTCCCATTTCCGCTGCGCTCTGTGGCGGTTCTAAGCACGATAGCAAACTGCTACTCTATACCAAGGTGATTAGTGCGCAGCTCCAGAAGTTGATAAACAAATCTTAGCTCCATTTCCTGTTTGTTATCTGAACCGAATTCTATTTCAGATCTTCCTTCCTTGATACCACAAAGCCCTTTGAGCTATCGATTCACTTGTCAGAGAGTGGATTGGAGGATATCCATCTGAGCTATCCACTTTAGGTAGTTCGGGAGAGAACATCCACCGGAAGGAACATTAAATGACTAGGAAGGGTAGTTCAGGTAGATAGGAGCTAGAGAATTGTTACCGGTGGGTAGTGAGAGTGGAAGATGGGATAGTTTTGATTTCCAGAGGTAGATAGATACATAACGTCGGTCTTTTTTTAAAATCATGAACATGTTAATCGAGAATGGTTGTGTGTTGGGTTCAGAACTAAATATATTGCAAATGAAACTGGAATAATGAATTTTCAGGCTAAATTTTGCATCTCCTGAAATTCAAAACTTATTAATAATTAGTGTTTTTATCTGATTCAAACATAGAACCATCGAAGTTGTTCTTTGATCCGGATAGAAAGGAGGACTCGGAGATATATGAGTCTTGTTACATTGCAATAAGCATGCGCTATGAAAGCAATAAGGTCTAGGTAAATAGGAATGAGAAGATTGCAATGCGATGACTATTTGTAATATAATACACTGGTTCCATGGTGCTAGGCATTATTGAGTTAGGAGTTTATTCGTTCAGAGAAATAGAGATACATCACTAGACATAAATTCTAACACTAGCACTAGCTATAGAATACCGAGTAAATGTACTAGGTATTGACAATAATGTACATCGTCCCAATGAAACGACAAATATCTCTGAACTTTCTATCTGGGGAAATTTGTGATCTATCCCCTATCCTCCGCAGGCGAAAATTTGTGCCATTCTGTCCTACCCAAAGATTCGGGCATCGATTACCAAAACACAAACATCGGAGCTTTCGGCTGACCCTACATTTGAGACATTCAAACTCTCGGGGATGACACTATTAGTTGGAAAAAAATACCATATCCGAATGACATCCTAGACTTTGCCGTTAGGTCAATGCTGAATCATTTTACCATTAGAGAATGAAGCCCCTGGAATAAGTCATCCCAACTTATACCCATCCAGGACAGCCCATCCATCCCGTCGCACCAAAAAAATAAGAAATAGTTCGTCATCCGGGAATCTCAGCCCCAATTCCCATCTTTCAAGAATTCGAGCGACGAGCCACGAATCACGAGATTGGAAATATATGTATGTATTTATTTGCCTCACAACCCTATACTCCACTCTACTCCACTAATAAAAAGCTAGTCAATGAATGGTATGGGAGAAGAAGCAAGACATCGAGACACTCGAGACATCGTACTACTCATGCCTTGGGCCCTTGAGCCCTCAAAATTCAATTCGGACAGATTGTATGCAGAATATCGTGGAAAAACAGCGAATGAAAAGTAAGAATGCCAAAAACAGAGTTTGAAACATATATGTTGTCAAACGGTAAGTTTTTCATGCATCACCATCCCCTCGTCCTTTCCTCCACATTCCATCCACAAATAACCTAGACCTTCACCCTCAAAGCATTGGCACTTCCTAAGTCTGACGCACGTGACTCAACGATCTTCATGGCTATCACCACGAGACCAATTTTCGTGGTACTGTCGTACCCCACATAAGATCTTACCGGCCGGGAAACAGTGAACATGTTCCCCGGTTCGTTGGGTTTGTGATGTTATTAATTGATTTTGATCCAAGTGCGTGGGATGAATTTTGGGGCTTGGAACGCGTGGGTTTCCAGGGTTTGAAAAAGTGGAAGGGGGAGAGACAGTTAAAAGAGGAAAAAGCTGGATGTGAATGGGCAAAGAGAGGTGAGGATACTCGTACACTAACAAAACAGTAACCAAAAATGCGGAAAGCTAAAAGAGAGGAGTAGACGAAAATCAATACCAGCACTAGCATTAGCTATAGAACATCGCGCAAAAGTAGTTAGAGTGAGAACTTAGCCACGGAAGTATCGGTACTGCTACAAGGTGCGAACTGTGAATGGAGTGAAGAACCGTTTTGATGTGCGCGAACAATTGGATCAAAGCCGTAAACTCAAATTCCGATATTTGATATTCGAGACTCAAGAATCTCATTGCTCGTATGCGCATATGCGTGTATGCAAACTCCCACAAGACCCTTAGAAGATCATTCTCGAAGGGTACTCAATGTAAATTGATCCCCAACAAAAATCCAGAAGCACTTGCATAACCTTCAACTGACTAGATCTCGACCACTATCTGTGTTATACGTAGTGATGATGGTGATGATGATGGCGTTGGTAGCGCATGCATCTAAAGTGATCTGATTGACCAGCTGACTGCTATTTCTCACTAGCTCTGGTAAGTTTTGGCTTCTTTGAATTTAGTCTGGGGTCTTGAGTGTACAACTTCTTAGTTCCCGTTCAGAGCTCGAGTAGCTAGTTGCTAGGGAGTCGTATAGATTAGTTGCGGCTTGCTCTAGGGTAAAGGGTAATATGTAGTGCTCGGTTCCAAGATTTCTGGGCGAAAGGAGGTTACGTTGGTTGGATTGGCGTTGCGAGTGAAGGGTGGTAATTGGTACATGAGTGAAGGGAGGTAAAGTAAGCTTTGATTGAAAGTGTGTGGGATGATGATGTTTATTTGGGAGGCGGTAGTGATGTGGTAACCTTTGGACAAGCATAAATAAATAAGTTTCCAAATATATGACATGGACTCGAGATGGGGTAAGTTGTGGGTAAAGATTGTTGCTGGGCGAGCTCTCGGTTGCTATTCTTTGGAATTTGGCGATTGTTAGACAGGGGTTCTGGGGTTGTCAGAAGCTTGATCAGGAAATGTAACGAGATTCTACAGAATGCTCAAGATTGATTTGTTTATAATTTACCGTAAATGTGAATGAAAGTAAGCAGTGTTTGATAAGTACTCGAGTGTAGTCGAATGAAATGTTTTGATAGTGACAAGGTAGGACGGCAACTCGACTCTAACTTGTGCTAATGCTTATATGTATGTGTTTATATGTAGGCATGCAGAGTAGAGAGAAGGAAGTAGAAAAGGGTAGAATATCTCGTGTGTCTAAATAACTCCAGCTGCAAAGAATATCTTGGATCAGGTCACCTAATTCACGATCGAACTAATTTGGTTAATATTACCGTACGTTTCTGTAAAGTGGTGCGGGTGGCATTCATGATGCCCCTCGTCCAATCCACGGACCTGGCCGAAGTTGTAAAGGGATCGAAGAATCAATCATTTTATGACCAGCATGCAGATCTCAAAAAGGATATGGAAATCGCAGATGACGAAGAAAAAGTTTCAAAATGGGTCGGGAAATAACGTTGTGATACGGCAATGTAATTTGGATAATGAGTGGATGGATATATGCGAGGTTGCAACCAATTCGTCTTTTTTCCTTTTCAGGGATCTAATGAGCAAGATATGATGGTAAATGGATAGATGATTTCTTTGGGGGCGAATTGGCTGTTAGGGATTGAACGATTGAACCATAGTTATGTATGTGATACTCCTTATGTGTGGGACAGCGCCAAGTGAGAAGTTGTGGTCGAGGTTGATGGGGGTCATCGTTCGGTTGTAATGGAGGGGTGAGCATAATTAGATATTCTCGACGTGGTTGCGTGTTTAATGATGGGTTGGCATATCGGGTGTAGAATTGCCAAGTGGTGAAAATGTTTCATTTTTTTGTTCGTTGTGTAAGTTTGACGGTTGAACGGTCAAAAGAGGGGGAAAGAAAGCAGGAGTGGTGACGATGAGTTGTGGCTGGAAAGGACTTCAAGGGCTGGCAGTGAGGTAGGCGAGTGAGTGAGCTTGCGCGTGTGATGGAAGAAGTTAAACCTTATTGTCGCTTTGACGTAGCATCAGGACTTAAATACAACAACTAAAGTGAGGGGAAACAGTCTAGAACAATTAGCTGACAATGTTGAACAGTATATCTTCAAATGTTATGTGCTGCTAACGAGGAGAAAGTATGCGTGGGTGGTGGGGGCTTTGTGAGGTTATTCGAATCCCACTTCGCAGTAATCTTACATGTACATCTTCTGCTTGTTATATACTCCTGCAACAGGAATATCAACGGATAAGAGAACCCTTTTGACTACATGTTGACTTTTGGAGAATTGCAAGAATCAGCCATAGGTGGTATGTGCTATGTCCACTCCGAATGCCCAAAAACCCAATATTGTACCTATTTATATAAATATCCACATCGACATCTAGGGTAGAATCACAAGCCCAGCTAATTCATTTCCTTATATCTACCAACCGTAACTAAGAATATACGAATGTACGAATGAATGTACGAATACCAAATGCCAAATACTAATAAACACTACCAAATACCGTTATACCTTCTCGCTCACCCATACTACAGAGTAGCATTGCCCTTTTGTCATGGTCTCGGTAGCTAGAACTCACCAGCTCAACTCAACTCAACTCAACTCATTGTCTAAACTTGCTAATTGGATTTGTTGTCGTTCGTGATATATTTCCTCCAATCCAATTGGTTGCTTCCCCTCACCTGAGATCTTAAGGGTATCCATATCCACAGCATATCATAGCAACTCCCTCCAAAACAACACGGAGTAGGTAATCAACCAAATCAGATCAGATCTACGAGGACTTTTTGACACAAGGGTTCAGGACATGTCAATATTCTAAAGAGTAGTGAAGGGAAAATAATACCTAGGTCCCTAGGTAGTCTCAAAACCTTGCTCTCAAAAGAAATAAGGACGAGAAAAAAAAGAAGAAGAAAAAAACATTCGATTCTCATACTCACTCACTTACTCACTCCCGAATTTGACAATTAAATCAATTTTGTTGTATCACGATAACCTACCTTTCACACATTCCTGTGTTGTTGTTTTTCCTCACTCGGACAAATTCGATTCAAACCGTTTCAAGCAACCTTTGCAGTGTCCAGTCCTGTCCACCCGTCTGTGCAATAAGCAAATAAGCAAATACCTAGTAAGCAAGCAGTCTTCCAATGCTCCTCAATTACCTATGAAAGAGAAGGGGAAGAAAGTTAAAAAAAAAAAAAAAGGTATCTCAACCTCAGGTTTTTCCGCTTCAAATTACACTCCATATCACACTCACACCAAAACTCAAACGGATTAGTTCTGCCGTAGTAGGACATCAACCCAGACCACGCCAGATAAATTTATCCCCCCCCAACTACAACCTCTAAACCGTTTTCAAAAATACTTCCATCAAATACTTTGCTCTCCCAAAATTCATAGAAAGAGACATCAATATCAACTGTTATGATGTCTTCTTTCAATATTGATTGCTAGCTAGGTTCATTCCTCGCGGTCGAGTCGACTAAACGGTTTTCCCCTCCACGATACGAAAGCTTGCGAAGACACGATAACACCCGATCTCAACCAACGAAGACGCGTACAACATCAATGAAGTTGGTTGAAAGTCTAAGGGCACCATTCAATAGTCAATGTTGACGCAACGGATTGATTCTTAGGAATCCTCAATTTATAAATCATTCAAGATGGAGGGAGATCAGAATCAGGCAATGTTAGCACCACCTGCTGTGTCGCATCTGCGTGCAGAGGCCGGTATGATGGAACGATCACTCAGTGCGGATATTCGAGAGGAGAGAGAAGATCTCAGACAAGCAGCAGAAGAAACTCTCAATGTCATCATGGATCTAAGTATGGAGGGCACAATAAATTGGGTCAGCCCCTCATGGTCAGATGTTATTGGTACAACTTTGGATTCTGTTCAAGGGAAACCAATTGCGGACATCTTGATTGGAGACAACGACCGGAGTGTATTCACAGACACTCTGGAGGAAATGAAGAAAGATGATTCTCGCAGTTATATTATAAGATTCGCCATTGAGCTGGGTCCGGCTTCGAGATTATTACCACTGGAAAATCTAGAGCATGTCAAAGAAGGCGAAGGCGAAGGCGCAGCGATATCGCAACCGGGACCTGCTACAATTGATCTGGAGGGACAAGGTATCATGGTACACGATCGAGGATCCGAAGCAGGTAGTCATGTAGGTTCTTGTCATGGTCTTTGATCGGAAATTAACAGCTAATATTATGCAGACAATGTGGATGATTAGACCTTGGATAGCGCCACGAGAAATTCAAATAGACCTCGCCCCAGTCATAGTCGAATCTTTAGGTACTGGAGCACAAGTTCTTGCGAAATATCTCACCACCGTTGCAGAGCATGGTCTGGATGATCCTGAAAATCATGCCCCGCCATTACCACTTCTTTGCCGAATTTGCGAACGTCAAATCCCTCCTTGGTGGTTCGAAAAACACACCGAGTTGTGCCTCCAAGAACACAAAGCTGAGATGGAAGTACAAATGTGTCAGGATAATTTGACGGAACATCGTCATGCTATTGTCAGAGTTTTGGATGCGTTGGAAGCTCGTCAAGCTCGGCCGAGTGCGGGAGAACAACCTGTGATGCCGAATCCACCTCAGGCTGAATACAAAGGATTGCCGATTGGTGCCAACTCAACTACGTCTTCTGGTACAGCTTCTCCAGGGACACCCACATCGGGTAGATCTCGATCAAGGTCTACATCAGGATTTGGTCATGCAAGAGGACGATCCTTCGCCCAAAGGCGACCTCATGCTCGAATTGTAGAATTATTATTGGACCTTTGTGATACAGCCATGGAAATCAACACACCTGCCATCAAAGAACCATCCCCTCAAGCTCCCGGAGAGTTCCGTACACAATCTCCCCAATCGGAATCACGCATATCTCAAGTTCTGCAATGGCAATCACCAAGTTTGAATGCTGCAGATCAAGAAGGCTTATCGATCCTATGCGCGGATAGTGAGGCTGTTGCGCGAGCAAAGGTTGAAGCTGTCATTCGTCATCGGAGAATTATCGAGTATTCAGAACGCATCCGTATGGAATTTTCGGCAATTGTACAAGATTGTATAGATGAGGCTATCAACAAAGCTGCCCGACTTGCAGCTGGTCAACTCAGTGATTCGACAGAAGAACCCGAAGAAATAACACCAGCCAATGAAGAGGGGTTTTTTGCAGGTTCGTTCGACGGTCCACATGGACCATCATCGCTGGCAGCAGCACTTCGAGCTGCTGAAGTTGGGACGGGCATGGTACATGAAGGTCGGCAGTTATCATCTGCTGCCATCTCTTCTACCAGATCTAGTAGTCCTAAGGAATGTCCAACTCCTCGTTCACACCAAGGCGCTTTGAGTAGCATACTAGGACAATCCCGGGAAGCAAGAAGAGAATCAATCTTTTTCGAAAGTGATACGGGTGCGGAGAGTGATGGTAGCGTCAGATCATCATCGGTCATGGGGCGTCCGCCAAGAACGGAATCGCCAGTTTCAGAATTCGGAGATCTTCGTCGACATGCAAGTTCCCGACAACAGAACAGGCGAAGCATGGTTCTCGGTACTGGTACACTTTCACCCCGAAGACAAGAGTCTCCTGTTCGAATGCCACCTCCATCATCCCCATTGAGAATCTCCAAACCCCGCATTTTGCCGATCGCCCACGAGGGTATTGTTTCTCCAACTGCATCGCCGATGCTTCCCGGAAGCGAGTTCAGCTCACCCGCATTAGTTCCGTCACACCATCGACGTCAGTCCTCGGCGGCTGGATCAGACCCACGCCCACCACCATCGCCCCGATTAAATTCTGTCAATGCTCCGCAAGCACGTGCCGTACCACCATCAATCAAGGATTTTGAGATCATCAAACCTATCAGCAAGGGAGCCTTTGGCAGTGTTTACCTTTCGAAGAAGAAGTCAACCGGTGATTACTATGCTATTAAGGTACTCAAGAAGGCGGACATGGTCGCCAAGAATCAAGTCACAAATGTCAAGGCTGAACGTGCTATCATGATGTGGCAAGGTGAGAGTGATTTTGTTGCAAAGCTCTATTGGACATTTTCAAGCAAAGACTATCTATACCTAGTGATGGAATATCTTAATGGTGGCGATTGCGCATCTCTCATTAAAGTTCTCGGAGGTCTTTCGGAAGATTGGGCAAAGAAATACCTTGGTGAGGTAATCCTTGGCGTTGAACATCTTCACAGTCGTGGCATTGTACATCGTGATTTGAAACCTGACAATCTTCTCATTGATCAAAAGGGTCATCTTAAATTGACCGATTTCGGTCTGTCGAGAATGGGCTTGATTGGACGTCAAAAGCGTGTATTAAGCAGCGTAGCGAATGAGTCTGCTCCAGATCTGCTGAAACAAGGTCCTTTTGCTCGAGCTACTTCCATGAGTTCTTCTCGTGCTTCATCATTCGATTATCAGGGCCATCATTCACCCGGCTCAACACCTCAAATGACCCCCGATGTTGCAGGTAGTTTAGGAACACCCTCATACTTCAATTTGAGTCGTGAAAATACCATCAACAAGGATGCGCGACGAAAGTCTGGCCATAGGAGTGATAGCGGCGGTAGTGATGCATTAACTTCTATGTTCAACCAATTTTCTCTGAACGAGTCCCAAAATCAGCAAGCATCCAATCAAAGGAGAACACCTATTGAAGAATTGAGCGAAAATGAGGCCACTGGATCACCTGACTTGTGCCTTCACCCGATTACGAGTCACAGCTCTGATGCTAGGCACAGTACACCACCACAGACTAGCACAGGTATGATGCCACCTCCAATGGCTCTTTTCGATCCTGATGATAGTAATCGTCGATTCGTTGGTACACCTGATTATCTTGCCCCCGAAACTGTAAATGGTCTTGGTCAAGATGAAGTAAGTGATTGGTGGTCTGTGGGATGTATCATGTTTGAATTTATCTATGGCTACCCACCTTTCCATGCTGGCACACCAGATGAAGTTTTCGAAAACATCCTGGCTCGCCGAATTTCATGGCCGGATGAAGGTGACTACGATGTTTCGGATGAGGCTAAGGACCTCATGAATAAGCTTTTATGTTCAGACCCACAAAAACGGCTTGGGGCCAACAAAGAAGAGAAGTTTCCTACTGGAGGCGATGAAATCCGAAGCCATCCTTGGTTTGAAGGCACTCAGTGGGACAAATTACTCGAAGACGATGCACAATTTGTTCCCGCACCGGAAAATCCCGAGGATACCGAGTATTTTGACGCGAGAGGAGCCACTTTGCAATCTTTCGCGGAAGAGATGGAAGATCAAGCATCTACTCAGCATCCCACGCCTGGTGCCGAATATCCCGAACGCCCTCATGATGCTTTATCTCGAGTTCGCAGTCAAGTCAATAACGTGAAACGAGGTTTAATGCCACTACACATTCCACCCCACGTCCGAGATATGAAGAGTAGGCGACTGAGCGAACCTGTAGTAGCAGATGACTTTGGCAATTTTACTTTCAAAAACTTACCAGTTCTAGAAAAGGCGAACAAAGACGTTATTCAGAAATTACGACAGGAAGCCATGTCGGCCACAAGCAAGCCAGTTGTCAGTCCTGGTGGTGCTAACACCGCAGTAACATCCCCAGCTGCGTTAGATGGAAGTCCTGTATTGCCGATGCCGATGCCAATGCCCATTCAAAGAACGTTGTCAAATGCTAAAGCTACTGCTCGACCTTCGTCTCCTTCGGGATTTAGTCAAGCAGATGCTTCTCCAAGTAGGGCTTCACAGCCTTCATCACCTTTACTTGTCTCATTTATTGCAGGGCAGAATAATGAAGCTAGACGTAAAACTTCGAGCAATTCTTCGAGCTTATCACAGCAATCGAGCAACAATCTTGCACCACCTGCTAGTTTTATGGATGGGCCTAGGACATCGCCTGGGCTTCATAAGACCACTAGTTCTGCCGCTTCGTCGCCTATCAAGATACGTGGGTCTGCACCTCCACCACTTTCATTATCATCGCCAGCAAAACCACCAGCCACTCCCCGACAAGGTAGTGGTACCTCATCATCATCTAGAGCTCGCTCGCAAACAGTTGGATCACAAGAAGGAAGCCCTTTACCAGGCGAATTCTTATCCCATCGCAAGCGACGAAGTCAAGTATTCGATATGTCACCTTCTTCTTCGGACAATGAAGGAGAAAAGGCTAATGCGTTACTTCGTGTTCAACGTCGCCGTCAAAGCTCAAGACGGATGTCCCAGATTACCTTATCTGATGGTCCTGCTTTTCGACCTTTGGATGTACTCATCTGTGAAGATCACCCAGTATCACGAATGGTTATGGAGAAATTGTTGGAAAAACTACGTTGTCGCACAGTTACGGTCTCAAATGGTGCTGACGCGTTGAGATATGCCGTTAGTGATATCAAATTCGATATTATTATGATGGAATTCAAATTACCTCAACTCAATGGTGCAGATGTGGCTCGAATGATTCGCGAAACCAAGAACGCCAATTCTCAAACTCCCATAGTTGCCATCACTGGATACCTGAAAGAACTTCAAGCACCTCATCAATTTGACGCTTTAATTGAAAAGCCACCGACAGCGTCGAAGCTTACTGAAGTCCTTTGTAGATTATGTCAATGGAAAGAGCCCATATCAAGTTTGAACTTCTCTCCAGCATATCCTCCACCGTCTGGCTTACGCCAGGAGAGTTTACGTCTTGAAGACAGCCCTACTTCTGCTTCGTCTGGTTTTGCACACATGCCAGCTGGCAGTTTTAGAGGTTCAAGTCGCGAAGATTCTATCAGCTCAAGTCTTTTTGAGGATACCGAGGCTTTTCCGACTGATGATCTTCCGGTTGTCATTAATAGGAGACCTACCGGCGATTGGGATGAGACTGGACTTGGTATCAGTAATGAAGTTGACATGATTGAAGACAATGAATTACCTAAACTTCCGCCACCCAACCTTCTTCCAAACAGCCCTTCTCCAGTGCGATTAGAACACCGTCGAAATCTTTCTCGCCAACGATCATCTGAAAAAATGAAAGCGAAACGGGAAATTTTGGAGAAGAATCGCCATGAATGTGCAGAATCTGGTGATGATGAGGATGAGGTTTTGGGTGATGTTGCTGTAAGAGAAAAGACCAGTCCAAAGGCTACCACTTCGCCAAAAACACATCGTGGCTCTAAGCTTGGTACAGAAATGATGCGCACGAACAGTCGTGGTAGTGTTGTGTCTGGGACAGAAATGTTAAGTTCTGACTCAATTGAACCACCACCTACCGTCACTGAAGAGGCGATTACTTCATCACCAACATCAGAAATGCCTCCAGCATCCGAGATTTCTGAGGCTACTTCAACACCTCCAGGAAAATTTCAAGGCCCCGGAGATAAAGAGGTTGATTTATTCAAAACGCCAAAACAATCACAGTCACCATTCTCATTCATAGATGAAGAACCTACTCCTCGGCCTACTTCAAAGTCATCGCAAACAGTTGTCGATGAGGATTTCCTTCCTACACCTCGACCTACTTCAAAGTCGTCACAGACAGTTGTCGATGGTGATTTCCTTCCTACGCCTCGACCTACTTCAAAGTCTTCGAATATGGGCGAGAACGTTGATTATCTTAATGTGGGTAAAAGTTTAAAAAGAGATCGGTGAACCTAATGTGGTAACTACTACTGCGAACACAACTCAGCTTACACAAATATTTTCTTTTCAATGTCATATTATTTGCCTTCGCCAGGCACATTACTTCTAACAGACTTTTTTCTTTGTTCACTTTGTTAATTTTATTTGAAGCGCACAAGCTTCTCCTTCTTGCCCTTTTGGACTCGACATGTCGTAGTCTATATTAACTGAACTTCATGACTCAAGCGTGGCGTTGGAAATGGGCTGGGTGGGAGATTATGCATATCATAGGGCGTTTATTTGTATTTTTGGCATTCTTTGATCAAATATGAATGGGCTCAACTTTCACAGAGCAGATCGGATTGTGGGTTGATTGACGTTTCTTTTGTTAAGGATGAAGGGGACGGATGGTTGGGGAATAGGGGGAATAGGGAGAAATTCAAATGTTTACGCGGTCAAGTGGTCAATTTTTTTCCATTTGACGAGCAGAATGAGATAAATTGCTGCCACTGTTACATATGCCCGGGCCGTCAATAGCTGACAAGGAAGATTTTGTAGATTTGTTGGGTTTTGGAAGAGGGTTGGTGGAGGGAGATGAGAGGTTGTGGGGGGGAGTGTATTGATGACTGAATACATCGATGGACGATGTGGATTGAGAATTTTACTTTAACATAGCTACACATAAGACACGAGGAATACATATGAGCACTGGCATTAACAATCACTAATGGGCATTTTTGAGCCTGATGTTATTATTTACTTTGAGGAATACGAAATGTGTTGGTTGATAACAGCGTAGAGGATGATTTGATATTGTGGTTTCTACCAAAGAGATCATACAGATAGCATTTTTAGATGATAAGCATGGAATGAGATCTGTAGTAGATAGAGTATGACATGCAAGTGACAGTCAGTGTACAAGATTGTATGATGTAGTGGAGCTGGATTATTAAAACAATCATCTTCCTTTAAACCCCTCTACCATGGCTAATGACACGCCCTACATTATGTGCCAGACACTATCCTAGAGCGTTCATCAATACAAAACCCGCTTCGAATTGATATTCCCCCTATACTCATAGAAATTCTTAAGCAAATTATCCTCCCATAACAACCTCAAACTAGCCCAAATACCAATCCTCTATCTAAGCACCACCCATAGCTGCGCTCATGAAAAGCTTCTCCCTCTTCATCAACAAACTCAACACCACAGTCAACGCCCCCGCCGTGATAACCATAGCATAAGTCTTACTCATACTCTCCACAATCGCCTGAATGACTTCTTTCTGCTGTATCTCTGTCAAATTCTTCACAAAATCACTACCCGCCCCGCAATTGCCTGCTGAATTTCCGCAGCCGGTAAATCAGGCAGGATAGCTTGAATTTTCTCCTGACTTCCATTTAGGAAGACGGAATTGGCAATTGCGAGAGCGATAGTTACACCACCTACTTGAGCACAGGTGATGAAGCCGACGGCGGAAGAAACTAGTTCCTCGGCAACAACGGCCTGAGCGACGGAGAAGGAGGCTTGAGCGAATAGGCCGACGCCGAAACCGATAAGGATGGTGAAGCCATAGATTTTGGCAATAGAGGTATCGGGGTGACGTCGGCGAACATGAGGGATCCGCCGATGAGGACGAGAACTCCACCTGCAGTGTACCATGGCATGTAGTAACCGTATGCGGAAAGGATCGCACCGTTGGATATGACGGCGAAGATCATCAGGAAGATGAAAGGCAGAAGACGCACGCCTGCTTCGAGAGCCGAGTCGTTACGGGTGAATTGGAAGAAGATTGGAATCATATAAATAGGGATGAAGATGGCGGTTCCTCCAGCAGATGTCACGGCGAAAAGAATGAGCATTGTTCTACTCTGCAAAAATTCGATAGGGAAGATTCTGCGGCTGGTCGTGGTGAAGATAGTAAAGACTTGCTGGATGCCGAAGATGATAAACAAGATACCTGAGCAGACGAACAACCCGATGATTTTCCCAGAGTTCCAGGGATAAGTTACACCGCCGAATGAGACGGCCATGACACCAGAGACAAAGGCTCCAATGATAATTATGCCACCGAGGTAATCAACCTCTTTTGCGCGGTGGAGGAGTGGAACACCTGGGCGGGGATCATAGTTTGGAAGGAGAAACAGGTAGACTGGAGCGCAAGCTGCGCCAATACAAAGATTGATGTAAAAAGCCCAACGCCATCCTGCAGAGGAATCTGTGAATGCACCTTTGATATTGTTAGTACACTTTTCTCGTATCAGTCAATGAAAAGATGAGCATGAACCTACCTCCAATAATCGGACCAATTACAGTACCTAAACCCCAAGTCATCCCAGTACCTCCAATATAAAGCGGTCTCTCATGGATAGTTGTAGAAGCAGCAAGTAGTGTCATAACACCCACATACGTACCACTACCACCGAATCCACAAAGTGCCCGTCCAACAATTAGAGCAGGCATATTGGGAGCACCACCGCACAATGCAGAGCCAGCCTCGAAGATAACAATCGAAATGATATATGTCCATTTCGCATTAAACTGACCATAGATCTTTCCCCATACCAAATTCGTACTAGCTGCGCCAATAAGGAAGCCTACACTAAGCCACGAAAGTTTACTAACATCATTGAAGGTAACGACGATGTCAGCTTGGACATCTGCCACAATGGTGTTATCGAGAGCGAAGAGAAAAGTGGAGGAGAGTATTGCGGCAACCACCAAAGCCCACCTCCAACCCGTGATATCTCGTACTGGAGGGCATTCTCGGTTGTTTGACTTGTGCTTTCTCTTGATCGATCTCTGAGATGGATGCCATTTCAGAGGAGATGTCCTTTTGATTGGGTGGTACATTTAGAGACATCGCTGAAGCAGCTGAAGACTCTGTAAGTTTTTCTGATGTAGGATCCGCCATCGTTTGAATCTATCTGAGCGTGTCAGCCCAATACATCTTGATATTTCTATGATGAAACGTAACTCACCTTTCAGTTGAAAAGCTAAAGAGACCTTTTGAACCTATGTTGAAAACCACTCTATCGTACAGCTCAAACCTCAAACATGGAGATGGTCACACAATATATAAAGTCTCAAGGGAGCCGAGAGGCATGCTTCATTCCAGAAGACAGGGGTCGGAGAATAAAGAAAAAAGATACTTAACTGTGCTTCATAAGCCGCCGTGAGATTCATGAGAAAAGCCTTGCCGTTTTAGTCTGCATGACTCTTACTTTCAAGTCAGGGTTTTAAGAAACGTCTACTCAGCGTCAATACAAATGTTCTTTACTCCATAATAGTTTTGAAGTTGAGCCAGTTGCCATCAAAACATGAAGTTAATAGCCTTGGAGGATCAAGGGTTAATCCATAGTGCTTACACTGGAAGCGATGGACCCGCAAGCCCATGACTATTAACCTACGATGGACAAGAGGAAACAATCGGTGTCAAATCTTAATCGATCCAACTGATCGGACTCCATAGACTAGGAATAGTCCGCGCGGAAGAGATATTAGGCCGAAGGTGATACCGGATTTTAGAACAAACGCCAGAAGTGGAGGAGTTAAAAGATATCTGATCGGATTTTGAGCTATATCCGAAATCCGGAAGAACTCGGCGGAAGGATTAAACAAAAGAAAGTAATCATTGGGAAAAGCCGGGATAAAAAAGATGATTTCTCAGCAGACAGCAGCTACGTATCTAAGTTTGGCTAAAGAAATACCACTTGTGCATTCGCCATATAACTTCGATCACTCGAGGTAATTTCGCTGGAGCCAAGTAGGGCTGAAATTGGTATCAGGACCAGATCCACAAAAGATAACTCTACTAGAGTCTCGTTAGCACGCGTGTGAGCGATACTATCTTTTATTCATACTTCCAATAGCTGTGATACACATTTTCATCGGTGACACTGTTCTTAATCAAATATTCGTACAGCGTCCAGTACATGGCGTCGATTCTTCTGCCGGCACTTTCATTCATCTTTCTTGCTAGTAATTTCAAACAATCAGGCGCCAGACTTTAGCATGATCGAATTTTCCAATATATGTACCAGTAACTTTGTACGTACTTAATACGTGTGTTGACTCTCTGTATTGTTGCTGACTGTGTAGATAGATTTCTGCGGCTCATTGTGAAAGTATGTAGGGGATGGGTGGGATCGTCTTACGAACAGCGCACGAGGGTTAAAACGAGGGGGAAGCTATGTGCTGTCCTCGTAAACAACTAACGAAGGAAACCAATGACTTTCAAGGTTGCATTACTGCATTTTGAACATGGACAAGATAACGTGCGTGAAATGGGCATTGGACTCTCCACTAGCATGGCCGAATTGCTCAAGATTCATTAGATGTGAATTTTCGTGCGGAATTTCGCAGCTAAGTAGATTATCGCTACCATACAATTGGGCCTCGATACGCCTAGTTTTTAGGATCCATTGGCCATTGACGCTGGGAAGGAAAATGTACGTGGTGAATCATCTTAAAAATCACGTCAGCACTATCAAAAATGATAAATCCTTTTGGTAAACTCAAATCTAGTCTGTCATTCCTTGACTTAAGCCTTTTCGCTACAAAATTAGGCTGCCTTAGATATTCCGATTTAAGTTTCGAACGTTCTCAGAATTTGTAATACCTTCGGTGCCAACATCCTGCCCAGATTTGAATTAACGCGTCCATTGTTTCATCATCGCCCTCCCTTCGAACAGCCAACTGTGCTGGAATCTGATACTTCTTCCGAAATATTTTTGTCGCAGGAGACTCTCGAGCCATTGTTTGTAGTAAGGCGAATGTTTGAATGTCGAGGGTCTGGCGGACTTTAGTATTTTGAATCACATCTACCTTCTACCAGTCACATATTGTCCCAGATGCCCTTATACACACATCAAAGCCCCGCACTTGTGTAGAAGCCCTCGACTTGCAATTGTATCTCTTGCACTCCTAATAATAGCAGTTCTGATATGATTTCCAGTTTTGCTTCGCTGCGGAATTCAAGTGAGAAGGACGTTATGTAGATCGTCAAATGGGTGCCTTTTCAGATGAGCCGCTCGGAGAGTCAGAGCTCAAGTCCGGCATGGCGATTGATAACATGGCGGGATATTTCTCTACTGCCAGGTCAACTGACAATTTGTTATTATTGAGCGTCGAGGCCATCATTGAACTGCAGAAGAATAAGGGTGCTTTCGCATGATCGAATATTCGTTCTCCATTTGGACTGTTGTAATAGCGTAGCAAAGCTCTGCTGAAGACGAATGAATACTAATCGTGCGCGTTCCAAATCGCATGCCTTTCTCTTTTCGTGATTGAATTGGTGATTAAAATTTTTGTGCTATCACCCCTTGTGCCACGCTCATCAAGCTCTTCGTACCTAATCAGCTTCCATTTGTACTATGAGCATTCACTTAAGGGTAGTGATCATAAATAATCATTGTCTTGCAACAGTAGATAGACGAGCTGAGCATCATATTGAATCATAGGTTGTTTGTGAAAGCAATTGTTTGTTGACGGAGCTGAACGAGCTGAGTTACCTCATTACCCAAGCCAAGCTTGAGCCAAGGTAAATAGTATAAGGTTAATCACGTGGCTCCTTATCGATTCAACATCCACCGGTGATCCTAGGTAGTTTCTCAATAGATAATGAGGTAATGAACTTCAAAGTTCAAAGCTTATCATCTGCCGATGATATCCAAATGTAACCTTCCCTTTTGACCTTGCTACCATGAAGATTATTTCCCCTTTAGTATAATTTTCGAATCTATTCTCCAATTGTGTTCAATGTTCCCAAAGCCCGATGTTTTTCCCTCATTTCATATCTCTTACCCCTCCTCATTGATGAAGAAGAACTGATAAGAAATGATAAGATATGATCCAAGAAGCATATACTATCAACGTATTATCAAACTATATCGAATATCCTCAAACGCGAGGGGCTTGAGAGGGGGAAGAGTGACGATAACACGTCCATTCACAGTCAATTCTGTGGACTAGTGATGATCTCCAGATAGCATACACCTCATACATGCATGTCCTACTTTACTTGTAGTCCAGTATTTGTACTACCGTTCCATCACGGTGATGTCTGTGATCCCTTGACTTCTTCGTTATTCGTTCAATCAAATCATCACCATACATTAATTACACTTTACGAACGGCATCTTTCACTCGTCGACACTATCCCTAATCAAACATTCCTTTCGTTTGCTTATTGCTAGTAATAATTGGCCTTTTCTTTACTTGGGACAGTCGGAGTGTGAGTGACTACCTGTTCAAGTTATCATCTACACTATGGCGGACCCAATTGATGAAAAACATCAATCTACCGACTCTGATGATATCAAAAAGAAGTCACAAGACTTAGAGCGAAATGTTACCTTGGGTGAAGGGGAATTGCAAGACCCCATGTTCAAGCATGCTGATTCAAATGACGGCGATGAAGCGCTTAAAGCCTTTGCTGGACATGACGGTGAAGTTATTGTCATGACGCCAGAGATGGAAAAGGCATTGTTGAGAAAAATTGATTGGAATTTGATGCCGGTATGTCTCTTATCGCATAATCCCCATTGGAGTACTCACCATGTTTTCACAGATGCTCTGCGTTGTGTACGGCCTCAACTATCTCGACAAAACTACACTTTCCTATGCGAGCATTATGGGGATGAAAACCTCGCTCGATCTTAAGGGTGATAATTATCAATGGCTAGGGTAAGAGCGTTCTTAGTTCGGGTTTCATCACTCTGAGAAATTTGTTGATTGATCCATTATACAGATCAATGTTCTACATCGGCTACTTGGTCTGGGAGTATCCCACCAATCTTCTACTGCAGAGATTGCCGCTCGCTAAATGGTCATCGTTCAATATCATAGCTTGGGGTGGGACCTTGTGTTGCATGGCTGCGACAAGCAATTTTGCGGGTGCTGTGGCTGTGCGCTTCTTTCTGGGAGTCTTCGAGGCTGCAGTAACTCCTGGTTTTACCCTCTTTACATCCCAGTGGTACACGCAAAGAGAGCAAGGCTTCCGAACTGGAATATGGTTCAGTTTCAATGGCTTCGCTCAAATATTTGGTGGTCTCGTTGCTTACGGCATCTCAGTTGGTGTTAAAAAACACGGATCGACCATTGCTTCATGGAAGATTGTGTTCTTGGCCATTGGTCTGTTGACAGTAACTATCGGTTGCATATTTTTATATTTCATGCCGGATAATCAATTGAATGCCAAATTCCTTACGCAACAAGAGAGACTTATGGCTGTTGAGCGTATCAGAAAGAACCAACAAGGTGTGGGCAATAAACACTTTAAAATGTATCAATTGAAGGAGGCTCTTGCCGATCCGGTAACTTGGGCGTTCGTCTTCTATGGATTGGTAGCAGATATTCCTAATGGTAAGAAGGATCTCAACGTCGACTCCCGTTCGGTTACGGTCGATCGAAACTGACAAAACACAGGTGGAATTTCCAACTTCTTTTCCCAGCTTATCGTTTCATTTGGCTACACTCCCGACGAATCACTTCTTTACGGAACTCCGGGTGGTGCTGTCGAAGTTATAGCCCTCATTGCATGTGGTTATCTTGGAGATAAATATGGACACAGACTTCTGATCTCTATATCTGGTCTCTTGATAGCGATGTTAGGCATGATACTTATAGTTGCACTTCCTTTATCCAACGACAGTGGTCGTTTGGCAGGCTACTACCTAACACAAGCTTCACCAACGCCGTTCACTGCGCTTCTCTCCATGATATCGAGTAATGTCGCAGGTTATACCAAGAAAACAACAGTCGCAGCCCTGTATTTAGTTGCTTATTGTATAGGGAACATAATCGGCCCCAAGTATTCAGACCCGCAGACGCGCCACGGTATAAACCAGCGGAAATAACCATCATTGTATGTTATGGAGTGTGTGCCCTGGATGTGGCTTTCATTGCTTGGTACTACAACAGGATGAACAAGAAGAACGAAGCGATTAGAGCCGCGCCAGGTTACAGAAAGCTAGATAAACAAGAGTTTCTTGATTTGACGGACAAGGAAAATCACGAGTTTGTCTATGCCCTGTAATTTTATCAAGCTTATGATGCCCTTATATTCATATCAGTGCATAGACTTTCAGCTGAAGTCTCATTTCATTCTTCTATTGCTTGATATCTTTTGAGACGTATCCGGGAAGAAAAGATAGAGCGTACACTTAATCAGGAAGAGGAAAGACAGAAGGCCAATATCAATAGGCTGAAGGAAAGCTGCGACTTAGTGCAACCCACCATATTAATTGGCGTTGGTCACTGCTTATGTTGGGAAAATTTATAAGAGTTAGACAACACACAAACTATGCCAGTGTACCATACCCGTGCGTGCATGCGCCAAGACTTGCCTCCTCGTCCGATTTTAAGCTTTTCTGCCAGCATAATTGTACCTCGGGGCTTCATCATAATCGCGAGAACGACCGATAAGATGCAATGGAATGTTACCATTCATTGCATAAAATCTTGAATTGGGTACAATAATCTTCGCTCAAAGTGGGAAAAGGTTGTTAGCATTAGATACTCACGTTGACGAATCAGCCTCGAGATAATGTTGCAGCCTGTATTTCGGTGTAACCTCATAGAGATTATAGGATCCACGAAACTCGCATGGGTGTGAGTAGTAGTGGATCCTAGGTGACAGTCATCAATAAATTTTGCAAAAGGAGTCCGGGTCTATTCTTCTATCTGGACGCTTGGTAGGTTCTTCATATCACGCGGCGTTATGGGATTGGGATGACCGCATAGAGAAGGAAGGTATTCGCAAATACTGGGCACTGAAATAGATCGGATTATCTAATGGGATTGGATAGAGGAAGAACAACCGCACCAGGAAATTCCTAACGTGAGAATTCTACTTGGTTCTTTTACTGTAGCCCCGGCGAGCCGTGGGTTCAATTCACATAAGAAAATCGAAAATTTAGAGACATGCAAATGTTCAATGTTGTAACAATCTTGTCCAAGTTCAACACAGGCTAGAACTCCAAAACGTTCTGAAAGTGTGGAGAAATGAACGACTGGCCCGGTACAACGCGATCAACCTTTGTTTCTTCTTTGGGATATGAAACGAAATGCTTTTTGTCGCGTATATGGGAGATAATCCATGTAACCATGTGTTTAAGCTCCAATCAAGCATCGCCTCAACACTGATGCCGAAACCATTCCTCTTTCAAACAATTTCTCCGAAGCTTTAATTCTGGCATTCCCAAAAGAATTCTCCGCTCAAACAGTTTTTCAGATGCAATTGGACTGCATACGACAACATCATGTCTCTCGTGTCTTCTTCAAGAGACATTCGTACCTGGAGTATGATTTTCTGATGCCAAGTCGAACCAGTGGCTTCGAACAAGATAGCTGAAAAGGCGTCGTCGATTCAAGCCTCAATTAACTAGTTCTGGGTTGGTAGGACCTGGAAGCGGACTATGCTTATTTGGCGCAGTCTCAATCATGCCTTTTTGGTGGATTTGAACAGGGGGTAGATATCATCCAATCAAAGTTCTCCAATTGATCGGGCATCTCGTTTGGATAATATTTCTACGAGGTACAAACCCTACTCGTCTGGTTTTTACTCCTGTGGGCCGGCGAAGTGGTAGTTGCCCCCCGGAAAATTCTTAAAAAATGTCGGATAATTAGGACTATTGAGAGGAGGATTTTAACAGTCATTGGCATGCAACAGCTTTGTGCAACTTACCAGTTTCCGGTATTTTACTGTCTTTGAAAGGATCAATGACTAGGAGGGGTGACTGTAACCAACTATATCTAGAATTTGCTAAATGCATCCCCATGCTCGTCCAGACTTTCAGGCAGGATGGTCTGTCAGAATATTTACTAGGCACTTCACCCTTTACCATTCCTGTCACTTTTCTGAGCATCTTTTGCGAGATCGTTTTGAGATTCCCTGGTAGATACACTTCGAAACCCCAGTACATACATATTCAAAAAGCCGGATGCCTACCCCATGCCTGTAGACCAAAAGTAAAACGCATAACATACATCTCGTTTGATTTATTAATATGCAAAGCATGTATAACTGTATGATGTATCTTTTCCCTAGTAATCTAAGGCTGCTGGTAGTTCTTTCATCTAGGCTTTGATGTCCTTCGACTCCAGACCTTTCTCTCGTCATTAGTGAACCACTATTTCAGCCTCAATCGCAACTAAAATGCATTTTCAAGACAAAGTGCATCGTAAGACATTGGGCATGTGACGATCTTGAGTTTGGTTTTCGTCTTTTAGGATTTGGTATTGGTGTTGGAAAGGAGAGAAGATATGCATCTTCCTCGATTCATTGCCGCAGCTCTGGTAGCAAGACAGTCTGTGATGGTGTTGCCTTCATCATATTGTTCTCCTGACTGCCGTAAGTTTGGTTTACTATTATCAGATACTATAAACAGATCAAGATAGCATTAGAGTAAAGGAGGTCACAAAACTGATATTCATGCAGCGACATGCAGAATCGAAGCATTGGCATTTAATAGCACGACGTCTTGTGCAGAGAACTCAACATTTATCACCAGCTGTGGAAATTGTCAAACTTGCGTGTTGACCTATTCAATTGAAAATCCAGACGTCAATACCGATCAACAAGAGATCATACCTCTCATCTCCACGCAATTGAATAAATGTCTCAACACGCCGGGGGGAGGGGAGATACAACAGTACGCATTGCAAGTATCAAACTTAACAGCTTTGTATTCGCGAATAGTTGGGACTGGGTCTTCCACGACTTCTGGAGCCACGGCGACAAAGACGAGTTCTTCGACTACGACTGGACTAGTTAATTTGGTGACAACGCCTGCTAGTAGTTGGTCTGGGAGTTTAATGAGTGATTCGGGGGATTGGACAACCGTTTTGAGTACAGCTACTTGGGCAAGTGCTTATTTCAGTGCGCTCTCTGAAGGTATAGACCTATTCTCTCTCTCTTCGACCTAAAGTCATCTTGATAAATGTATCATTCTAATTCTAAAAACAGCATCGATATCTGCCATGAAAGTATCCTCATATTCCAGGGCCTCCATGACCTCTATTTCATCGATCCCAACCTCAGATCCCATACCAACATTGATTCCTACCCCAACTCCAGCCACGAACTCCGAAACCAACAGTACTTTCAATTCCACTATTCCCCTGACAACTGCCAGCACCACAACCCCTTTAAACAAAACTTGGATAATAGGCCCCATAATCGGTTCACTCCTCGGCATGTCTACCGTATTCATAGTAATCTTTTTCACTCGTCGCAAACAACATCGCGAATTCCTCTTTCAACAACATCTTCTCCACTCACGCCATACCCCAATTGATATAGAACCCTATAAAAATTTCGGTAATCTTCATAGTCCGGCAAGCACGAGTAGTCATAATAGTTATGGTGATGGATATTTGGGAACCGGAGGAAAAGCACAATTACACGGGGAGAGTATGGAGATGAGAGAGTTGCAAGGGAGAGAAATCATGGCGCCAGTGGAATTACCAGCTAGGGAACCGGTGGGGAGTGAACTGTTGACACCGATTGGTAAAAATGTCAAGAGAAAGAGGAAAAGAGAAGCGAGTCCTGTGTCGCCATTGGTTTCAACGGGACTTGGGGGTTTAGGCGAAGAAAAATATGAAAAGGGGGAGACGGACTTGGGGACTCTGAGTATACCGCGGATAGTCTTACCCGACGGGAATGCCAATGAAGTAATGGATGAAGGGGAGGAGAATGATGGAGATGAAATAGTCGAGGAAGTCGAATGGCCATTGCCAATGAGTCCCTTACAAGCATTGTTCAAAACGACAGAGATGAGGGATGGGAAGGCAGACGCTGATGAGGTACGGCATGAGACTTATTATCATCCCTGAATAAGGCTTGAAGTAAGCTACAGAGAGCACGAATAAAGCAAAGAAAAGTCTCATGAGGAGTGAACTGCGGCTCAAAGCAGACGCCACAAGAAAGTCAGATCTCTCTTGGTCCCGGATCCCATCGATGAGTCCTGTATGATTCGATCGAACAAAGATTTAAACTTGGACGGAAGGATCATAACATGAACAATAGTAAGTTGCTGGTCATCTCAACTGCGCGAAAGCCCCAATATCAAATGTCCATACACACCGAATCTCGAAATATTCGATCACTCCGAAACAAGCTTCGGGGCATAACAAAACGGGCACTTACTTACAAATCGGCTTGAAGCGAGTCCACATACCATATACTCATATTATGCGACACACCAACTAGACACAAAAACTTTCACTAATATCAATACCTTAATGCATATACTCTTGAATAATGTATTTCCCATTTCGAAATAATTCATGTACCCATCAAAGCGAGCAAGGGAGTGAGAAAATCAATACCCATATGGTATCAGTTTTAGCAACATTCCCACAGTGGGAGTGTTCGATTTGGCTGTATTTAGATTTCCCAAGTAATGAAACGAGAAGTTAGCCAAAAAAGGGAAAATAAGGAAAGAGAACATGCCTTGAGTTCTTGGTGCATTCATTCGTGATTTTGGCTATTCGAGATGAGATTGATGAGAGTTTTTATCAGAAGATGAGATAAGCTTTTCGGCAATTTTTGTGGACATGAAACGAACGATATTATGATGCACGAGCTAAAATATAGTTCTATTTTCTGTGAACTATTTCACTAACTCCACTCACTCCAGTTATTGACGTTTATCAACCACAATGCGAAAGATCAGAATCAAATCATGTGACCCGGATCTATTAGCCACCTCATCTCCTTCCCTCTTTAAATCTCCTCAAAGAACTCCCCCAACAGTGCATTTGTCTCATTACTCTTCTCTAATTGAATCCAATGACCACCTTCCCATCTTTCAACTCTAAAATCTGGAATGTAAGGTTTCATTTGCGAAGGAAAATCGGCGCCAGAGCTAATAAAATTGGTGGATGTTATGAGGAGAGTTGGTTGGTGAACGACTGTGCGCTCTTTAGGGATTGCTGAGTGTTGAATTTAGTTTTAGTTATGAATTGAGAGTTAATACAGAGGAAGGATGGAAGAAGAGGGAGGGTGATACCTTTATCATCATCTTCGTTAATCCCATGAAGTTGCATAGTATACCAATTCTTTGCAGCGCCAAAGCCACCATTTTTGGGCGAGAATATATTTTTGAAATATTCCACGTCCTGATTGTGAGATACCTGTCAGCATGGATACTTGCATCACGGTTTTGAAATAAATATGAACAGAATTATTTTTACTCACCTCACTCTTTACAAAATGCGGATAAGGAGCTAACATACTCCCCTCAAGCCATTTGCGAAAACCTCCAGTGGCTCCCATATGTTGTTTGCCTAGCTCATTGTCAAGGCTATAAAACAAGGACATAACAGATTCGGGCTATTTTGATCACCCGTTAGAACTTTGTCTTTGGCATAAGGAACGCGGGAGAGATTCTAAAAAGTGTAAGATCTTACATTTTTGTCCAACAACTCTGTGCTATCCTCCTCATCCATCAAAAGGAAATATCCAAAGATTTCAAACCCGGCAGCCTCTTTAATTTGAGCATTGATCATTTTCACCATGTCGAAATTGAAAGTCGGTCCATCAGGTGCCTGATATCCCACATCTAGAAATACTAATCTCTTGAATATTTCCGGATAATAGTTCACCATGCGTGAAAGCATAGCACTTCCCCAATCATGCCCTACACCTAATACTTTATGAGATGCAGAAATGGAATGTAAGGAAAGAATCTCATATAAGTCCAAGGCCATGTCTTTGAACTTGTAGGAATGGATTGAGAGTGGTTTGGAGGTGTCGCCAAATCCAAGAAGGTCAGGAGCAATGATTCCATAACCTTTTGAGGAGAAATAAGTTATTTGATTACGCCAGTCGTGCGAGGAGGAGGGAAAGCCATGGAGAAAAAGGATATAAGATTTTGAGGGGGATGAGGGCTGAATATGAATGTACGAGTAGGTAAATGAGCGGGTGGTGGTATGGGTTCTTGTTGGGGAGTTTGAAGATGCCATTTTGTGAAAATGGTTAAGGTTCGCCCTGAGAAAAATAGAGCGATTGTTCTGAAGAAGACGTTGAATAAGTAGGTATATACATATACTTATTGTACAACATCAACTTCTTCATGCATGGCCAAATGATGTATCTCCGGAAAGTGTTCAGGCGTACGTGATTGTGATTGGACACGGTGCTCGTGTCACCCAGAAAACCCGAGTGGGGTTATCGTGGTTCGGGTTTCAAAAGAGCCCGGAAAATCAAGGGTATATGTGGGGAAGGGATTTCCGAGGGAATTGGTGATAGGAAGGTGAAAGGTGGATATGTACCAAGATATTAGCATGTCAGCATGGTATAAATCCTTTATGTCGATGTCAGTAAATGAAATGTTGAGTAAAGTGGAGCTGATTATCAATACCAGTATCTGTGTATTATTACTGCATTCGAGATGCATCACACCCTTCGATTCCCGCGGAACATTGATAAAAAATTCAAAAAGAGTTGGGATACATATCCCAGAGTCCCATGTAATCCTGCGACCAAATATCTTCCATTTCCATTGGCATAAAAGCTGACATAGAAGCCATTTGGTCTGTCTCTGACATTGGCTGTTGTTGTTTTTCTTGGAAGTCATCGATAGAATTGGAAGTAATGGTAATGGGCGCATTGAATCCCGGCTTACGATCCACCCATGCTTTAAACATCTTCATGACCTTTTCTGAACACGTGAATATACTTTCGGAATCACTACTGGTTCTTTCCCAAGCGGCCTCCGCTTCTGATTCTTTCAGACTTTGTCCTAGCACGTCCAAGATTCTTCCAGGCGCACAAACCCTCCTGACCATGTCAGTATCCCATGCTGGATCTTTAAGCACCGTCAAACGATATAAAGGGAAAAAGACTCCTCCAAATTGCTTCCATACTGGAAGTGATAATCCTATAAAATATGAGGCTGGACAGTTGAGAAGGATGTCAAACCAAGCTTTTATGGCGTTGAGACAGCAATGAAGTGATTCTATTCGAGAAAGTGAGGAATCTATAGATGAAGCTTCAGTGGAGTTTGGAAGATAAATAGCAAACTCGTGAATCATCACTTCCGCGCCATAAATTTGAAGGTTCAAAACTCCTTGGAAGCCGTTAGCACATGGTTCTATGATTGAATTCTTTACCTCCGAGGTGTACATACTGTTTTCGTTCAAATGCGAGGGTATCTTTTTTTTGACCTCCGCTAGTTGGGATTTGAGAGTTTGGATATAGAGCATAATAAGAGTGGAACTCCCAGGTTGGTCTGGTGTTCCATCGCGGATGAGATTTATATATGATTCTACCGTCTTACGCACAACTTGTTGAAGTCGTACCTGGTTAATTAGAAGCTCATCAGATGGATCTTTTCTTTCTTCTAGTTTTGATAAACATTTGTCAAGATAAGGACACCATACTACGCCTTCCAATTTCTTGTGGAAGGTTGAAAGACTAGAAATTTGGAGTTAGCTTTGATCGATTTAAGCCTGCCAAATCAGAGGGGATCTATTTAGACGAACGTTGAGGTTAGGTAATAGCAGGCTATAACTAGACGACGATGCTCCATGTTTCGAGTCAATGGTACCTCCATCGTTTCTTGATGACGAAATTCATGTTCCAGCCCCAGAGTATGAGCCTCGTCACTAGTAGGTTGATGAAGTTGTAAATCAATCACAAGTGTAACAATGAAATTGGAAAATAGAGTCATGAATGGTGCGGTTCGTACTTGATACTGGCCCCTAGAACAATAGTGAGTAATAAAGGTTCAGCATTAAGACTATAGCTTACCATCCAACAAAACAAACCAAACCCAGTAACAGATCTAAATTTCTCTTTCCCTCCACAACAAGCTCCCGAGCTGCGATTTCTCGGATTGTTTTGCCAAGTGTAATTTGTCGTCGGATGACCGTTGATGACATTGTCATGATACATAACCAAAAGAAGGGGCGCTCTTGTCGCAACTGGCGGGCAGTCATGCCATCTTGAAACTGTATAAACGGGAAATGGGGAAGATTTTTAGTGCAAAATGAATGAAAGCATATTTCTGCTTCTTCTATTGTTGGTTCCGCACCCTCTGGTAAAGTGTATGGATACGTTGGGGTTGCGCTCGATGCCGGTGTGGGAGGAAGATGAGCCGCACCTGAATCAGTAGGCGCAACTTCATCGGAATCTCTCGCCGAATTGTTTACGGCAGTAGAATGTAAATCTGATGCATGCTTATCAGAGGGTCGAACTGTGAAACTATTGAGGGCATTCTCGACAGCTGGATTATTTGGTGAGATGGTCCGCAGTAAAGATACAAGCCCGTCTAATCTTTGTTCAAGACGTTCTGCAGTCACGCGTGGTTTTTGTCTCCGTTTCACCGGAGCAGTAACACATCCTTTCTTGAGCCTGCCACATCTAGACAAGTTAGTCTACGGAGACACAGGGACTTCGTGATAGAGATACCTCTCACAAATTCTTTGGTCACTACCAAAGTTACATTTAGTTTTTGCCTTGGCACAATTGAGACAAGCTCGTCCGTAGGGACCTGAACGTTCCGTTTCCGTAGAGTCTGTCATTTTTAAACCAAAATTTATTTGAAATGGGGAAAAAAAGAAAACGAGAGACAAATCATGGGAATGACGAAGAAAGTAATTGTTACGATGGACAAGAAGGATGCTGCCGCTCGGGACAGTAAAACTCCCGTGTCCATCGGATCTCGGGGTTTGAATCTCCGATTTATCTTTCTTTTATCCAATCAGCGATCGTTCCTCATAGAACCGTCCCCCGTTCTGCTCTCGAACTTCATTTTTTCAGTAACACTTAGGAAGTGTAAGGATTCAAGTCAACCTTGCGCTCATTATCGAATACAAATAATCGCCTT